TAATAACATCAAGCATCCTCGGTTATACAACTCAGAACTAATCTTACATCTTCAATGGATTATCTTTTCAACCATGCTTCTGGAAGTCAAGCCCATAAGGCAATACCCAATAAGAAGCTATCATGCCGGTGGAAGACGAACCCAAGAGGGTCTTCACTGAAAAATCTCTGAAGGCTACGAGCCTTAAAAGATATTGGTTCATGCTCCTATAAGGTAGTACGTAAACGAGAATTGAGATTTTAAATAGATTTTTAAAGATAAATTATTTTCATCAAAATAATATTATAGTTTGGGTTACATTGCATCATTATTATTAAGCTTAACAAATTCCCGCCGCATCAGCCATCAACAAATTTTCATCATTCAGCATGAATCTCGAGGCATGACACAAATCTCAAGACAATATTTTAAATAAAAAACGTTCAAATCTTGATAAAAAATTTTCTACAGCTCCGATTTCAGCAAACTTATAGTCAAACTGATCGGCACGATGAGACGAACCTAATGATATAAAAACTAGTTCGATCCGAGTCAAATTGAGCCCAAATCAACTCATGAAACCACTGTTACAAGATTTTCAGACACATTTGGAAGGTCAAACAGACGCCGACACTAGTAAATCTATACTCAAATCGAGCGTCTTGAGAAGAAGAATCCAACGAGTCTAAGATCACTCAATTCCGACATCATTAAGTCACTCAAATGTCCACTAAACACCGTATGATTCAAGGAAATTCTCTGAACCGTCCGATAAAAATGGTTCATATTAGTGTATTAATTGTACCCAAAATACTATAAATAAAACTTTACCCCTTACATGAGAGGAGGAGAAATCCTAAAGAGAGCCAAAGGCTTTCAGGAGAAGCTACAGCTCAGCATCACCGCCAACTGTCGTCGACTATTGTCGACCTCCCTCGATAACCACCGACTACCATCGACCACCATCTGTCATTGACTACGTCAACCGCCGTCGACCACCGCCAACCATCATCAACAACCGCCACCCACCAC